CACGTAGTAGCAGTTAGTAACGTTTTTTGGTTAAAGCGCGTTTTTTTTTTGCAGTAAGGTGATTTAAGGCTCCAGCAAGGAATAGAGAAGCGCTTTGATCTGGATATTGCGCTCAGTTGGATCAAGAGATGCACCAAAAGTGTTTACTATTAGGAAAGCAAAATTATAAGGAGAAAAAGTGTTTGTTAATCCAAGACCACCGTTCTCCCGTAGTTTCCTCCGGAACCTTAAACACGAGAAGGTATAGCGATTTTTTTAATCTCATAATTTTTCAAAGATTTTTCAAACGCTTCTCCTGCTCTTTGGTGCGCATCTTTACGCCAACTTTGGTAGTTGCCGCTTGGAAAAAATGGGTTTACTCGAAGTCGAAAAACTCGTACGCGCAGCCTGCATTGAAGCCAACGTCGAACCTGTACTAGAGCAGGTTTCTGAACGGCTACAGAGTGTGTGTGAAACTACTGTGGTTGAATATTGAATAAGACAAGATTACTTGGGCCGCACGCGTGAACATTCTAGAGAGGGGAGGGAAGCTTCAACTTCTTGTTCTTAAGGTAGCGGTCATAGTTACAAATAAAATCCAGGCTCCACCTTGGAGCCCATGCAATTTCTCCTCTGCTTTTTTCACAAAAACGATCTCGAGCATGCCCTGAGTGGACCTCCCAGGTCTGTCAAGAGCTTCTCCCTAATGCCGTTATCACGACTCCTCTCCTTCCTCCATCACGCTAACAGATCTTCTTTCCCAGCTTTCGGCCGGCACTTTTGCTAAAAGGAGGCGGTGATCTGAACCTAAAATAGTACCACGAGACGTCCAGTAACCGCCATCTTCTGTTGGTGAGAATGTGGTCGATCCCCCATGAGTCGTACCGTTGGTGGTTCCCATGTCCACCATGAAAATGGAGTTGCCAAAAGTTATGGGGCGGATAAGAGCAAAAAAGGCCGTTTACCATCCTCATTCCGGAGTCCTGAGACAAATCTCTCGATCTTATGCCCCCCTTTTCTGACATTTCGACCGATTTCCGCGTTGAAGTCACCCACGATAAATTTGTGACTTATTTTGCGGAATGCTTCTCCATGTCCTCATAAAAAGCATCAAGTTCTGAGTCATTAGCTGCTGATGTTGGAAAATAGGATTTGATGATAATGATGGTTTTCTGATACACAGGACAAAGTTAAAGGATAGCCGACAGGATGGAGGACAGATGTATGTACGACAAATCCAACGCCTCCAACGTTCCTTGATGGAACTTTCTCACCCCCGAATGATGAGTGTGCCATCATTCAGCTGCCTCACGTCCATCTTCCTGGATTTTGTTTCCTGCAGGACGATTACGTGGTAGCTGATGCGCCCTGTAGCTTCGAGAGGCGTGAAGATCGGCGTTGGTGGAGACTGTCCTGTCGTAGATGCAGAGCATGAGACAATCTCCATGACGAGTCGTTAACGTGTCCTTGTGGTCTGTCCATGGCCTACTGTGCAACCTAATGTTAGTCTTGATGAAATCGGACGCCGGAGATGTGATCCAGCGTGCAGGGCTTTTCCCTAAACTCAGCAGCCTCGCCAGGGGTTGCCAAGCTTTTACGCTCGCTGACCTATGTGGATCAGGAAATCACCTAGCGACTGAATCAGCCGAATGGTGGGCTTCTGGCATGGCCTATTCTTAGCTGGGCATCCAGCCGGAAACTTCGAACTCCTTCTTAGCTTGAATGCCGGATAAATCTCCGCTGTACTCCGCAGTTCAGCACCCATAGTCACCCCACTCCACGATGAGCTGATAGATCATCACGGGTGTGACTCTCATTGTCAATTCATATAATCAAAACTACCAATTTATCAGAACCGGTTCTATTTTTTTCATGGCACTTAAACACAAAAAAGTCAACAGAGTCTTTTTTACGCGGAACTGTTGTTCGTTAGAATGACGAGTGTTTAAGTTTTTTTTTTTCAAAAGTAATTAAGGGAAAATAGTCGGTATACTCTGCATTTTGGGAAAAAATGGTAAAAGGAGATTGATTTAAACGGCAAAGAAAGGCGAAAAGGCTTATACCGACGAAAAAAAGCGAATAGGGGCGAGGAAACACAAAAAAAACGAATATACTGAAAACTCCATTCACAATTCAAACGTGGGGCAAAGCCTACAAAAGGTGGTAAAGATCGATTAGCAACGTAGTTTGTTCATTAAGTTTGCGCTTGGATTTCAAACTGACCTTTGAAGAAAATAAGATGGATTGTCTTCCACTTGTTGCCTTTTGCTTACTCTCAATCATTGCTTCTTACTTAAAGCATTTCCAGGTGG